GCAATTTCTTAGTTTCACAATTCTGCAACGTCACACTCCTGCAAGTTCTGGTTTGGAAAGTGATTATTGATAAGTTCCATTCTGCCTTATTCATTATTTTCCAACACCGTCAAAACCAATGTCCCCTTCACCGGCCACCCACCCTCTTGCACCTTCAAAACCACCCCAAAGGAACTCGGTTTTTTTTCAAAGACATGGTCGTCATGCGTCGTATTGAGATTGCTACGGACTTGCTCTACAAGGCTAAGCTCATCCGCGATTTCTGTCATTTCTACAATGGCCAAGAAACCATCTCCGTGGGCATGGAATTGTTGGTGCACAGGTGCCACTCGGCTGTGGTCTTGCATTCGTGCAGAAGTACTACAAAGGTAATACTGTCACATTCACTATGTATGGTAAAATAGGTATTTTGTTAAAGGGTAAAATAGGAATTTTGAAACTTTGATTTATCAGTTTAACATTTTCCGTCTTTGTTATTGACGGAAGGGAGGTTTTTGTTGAATTCTTTAAAAATCTAGGAGAGGTTTTTGCTAAAGTGAAACTTCATGGGAGATTTTTATGATTGTCAAAAACTTCAAGGGAGGTTTTTGTGCAAATTAGGCTTTCAAAAAACCCATTTGAAAAAGCATTAAAAAAACTCAATTTCAGTGTTTTTGAACCTTTGTTGACTCGGATAGCTAGATCGCTCAGACCAAGAACCATCCAAAAAACCGATTCCATTTTACTCTAAGCCCGGTCCTTGGCCAAAACTGTTGAATTGGTCAGTGACCCACTAACCCGAGTAGCCAATTTGTTCAGCCCGTTCAATGGTTTTGGCCGTTTTTATTTTAACTATTTTTTATTTTTTTTTTAAATTGGAACGGGCCATCCATTTGAACTGGATGGTCAAACCATTGACTTGGAAACCGATGGCCAGAACGATTCCGGTTCCGAGTCGGTTTTAAAACCTTGCTCCATTTAGCATTTTGCATTTACAATAAATTATTTTCAATAAAAAATGGTAATTAGGTAGACAAACACTGAAAAAGTTTTTCTTTTCTCTAAAAAAAGCCCATTTCAAAAGTAGCTTTTTCAAAAGCCCATTTACAACAAAAAAACACTCCCCAAAATGGTGTTATTTACACATTTGACTTTAGCGATGGGATACTCTACAAACAAAAACTCTGCACACATCATGGAAGCATTGGAATCCTGCGGTACACTAGGAACATCTCTCCATGAATTAAACGCAAATGTATTAGAATTTAGAAATACTTTCAATATGTGGCTGGTATGTGAGCAGAATTATGACTTGTCCTCTCTTTCTTATCGGGAATAGTCGAACTTGTTTAGCATTGCTCTAATTTCAAATACCACCTACAAGTTACAAGGCTACAACCTACAACTATACCTTTGCCTCTAGATTACGGTGAACACCCCTACGTTATTTGAAGTTCCACTTTGACTAACCTGTGCCATTTTGTTATGGTGCAAATTTCATTTTATAAGAATGCAAGTCCTAATTTCACATTTGTTTCGGGTTTTAATTTTTTATGTTTATCTGGGAGGAGTAAATTTTGAAATAAAATGACATTACAAAAAATGAAAGTATAAAGACGGTTATCTATTTGAGTGTAATATGGGAAGTGATGTGATTTCCACTTAACTTTGGAGGAAGGTGTTTTAAGTACAAATGAGACAAAGCATTAATTGGATTCAATGCAAACGAAAACACATATACAAATCTAAAATGAAAAGTTGTATTTGATTTGTATTGCAATGCAAAAAGATGAGCCTTTTGGGAATCTGTTAGGAAGAGGTCACATGGCCCTTTGATGTTTTTTCACATGCCTCGTGGTACTTTGTTATCAGTTCTGCTAGTAATTAAACTTTTGTATGCCTTTATTTGGTTTGATTAAAATACTATTAAGTTCGATTCAGTTTGGTTTAAAATCATGAAAATGAATGCATTTTTATATTTATTATGTATGTATATATTAATCTAGCTATGTTTGTGAACTTTGAGTCTAATCGATCTTGAATTTGAATAACTAATCAAGCTTACATCAAGATTTGAGCTCGAACCGAGCCTAATCAAATTTTAGCTAGAAGTACTATTCCATTAGAACTCGATTTGATTGCAGCCCTACCAGTAGATTTGGAGCATCTCAAAGGGATTTTTATGTATTGGTCTTGGTGGCCTCTATTCACAAGACAAATATAAGCCCCAAAGAACTTGTCAAATGCACGTACCCATAATAAACCCTTCTTTTTGGGCGACATTTATATATAAACTAAAAACTTAAAATAAGATGAACTGAAATCAACAATACTAGGTTTGTTTTAAAGTAGTTGTTTTCAGTTAGTACATGATTGAATCAGGTCAATCAAGAGGGTTCCACATTTGGTATTGTTTGGATCTGCCATATCATAATACCAAATGATTGAAAACAAAGTTGGTCATATAAGGAAGCTATTTACTTGACCCCGATTATGCTTTTCTATCTTCTTTAATCTAATTCACATCAATCTACATTATGGGTGTTTATGGTCTGCTTTGGTTTGGTCTGAAGTAAATACAAGACTAGACCATTTTAGCACAAATATCAAACAAGATTAAATATGTGTTTGGTGGAGCTTCCATTTATTAATTAAACATTTGTATTTGATTTGTTTTTAAAACTGACAGAAGTAATAATGTCAACCGTTTATGACAAGTGGGCGCCACTAGGTGCCGTTAGGTGCCACATCAGCATAATAGTGAATAAACATATAAACGTTGGGGGAAGCATTAAAATGAAACTTCTCCCAACAGTAGGTGTACACATAAATCAAGGTCAGCTTTTGTGAGTATCTATGCGTAATGATCACTATGATGTGCTAAAATACTGATTTAGCGATGACATGGCACCATTTTGATGAAATACAGGTTAAACCATTTTATCTCAGTTTGGTCCGCTTTCTAATATATTTTGGGTATCAAACCAAAGTGGAAGTTTACAATTTGATCAGTTTTTTTAGAAACCAAACCATAAATTGAATTTTAATTTTTTTCCCAAACTGAATCAAGTTGTTGTCAAGTCCATACCAGGACAAACCACCAATTTCAACTTGGTTTAATCTAGTTTAGGAAGCTAAACCATATAGCGTCTGTTTGGCATTGTTGTTGTTGCTCCAGAAAACGGTGCCACATCTGCACCATGTTGGAAAAAATGGTGCTCCAGGAAATAGGCATTTGTTTGGAACTGTTTTTTTTTTTTTCATAAAAAAACGGTGCTCCAAGCCACACCTTGGAAATTGGGAAGGCATGGCTTGGAGCAACGTCGAATTTGGCATTTCCTGGAGCTGCGGCTCGTTGCTACCAACATGGACGTGAGGTGGTAGTGACGTGGCACTAGATAATGGGTACCAATGTTGAAAACGTTTCCTTGAACATTGGTACCAAATAGAAAACATTGTTGTTGCTCCAAGAAACATCCTACCCGGCAGCAACATTACCAAAAAGAAAAGGCTCTTTCTCATTATATCACCTATTGGGGTTATTTTTAATGTCATATCACCTATTAGAGTTACTCTTAGGGCCTTTTCGTTTTTTGAATTTTGAGAGAAGGAAAACTTGGTCAATGGGATTGTGGTTATCATTGACCAAAATACCAATGCTCTTTTTTAAGATTATGTGTAATTTACAAAAAAATTATTTTAACATTTGGATGCAACAAAATTCTCTCTTTTAATAATAAATTTTAATGACTAAAACGATTATTATCTTATTTACATGAAAATAAAAGAACACGAATAAATGAACTTATCCAGATATGTGCTTCATAGAAAATATTTACCTTTCTTTAAAGAAGAACGGTCCCTTGCTTTCCTATGAATAACTTCATACCTAATACTACTTACTTTTTCTACTAGCCCATTTTTATCACCTATAATGAATACCCTATCTATAAACACCCTTTAATAACAAATCAAACATAATTTAATTGATCACCATAATTATCATTAGCTTTTGTCTCAAATATATATGGATCGGATAGAAGAAAATGTTTCGTCATTTCTTTCAAACCAATTATAATTTAGGTCTGTAACTCAAATAAAAGAAAAACACCCGATTATACTAGTATTGGTCTCATTGTCTCAATGTCTCATTTTTCTATATTAGGCGAATTATTTAATTACAAAATAGACCTAATCTGGTTTTATAAATCAAATAAAACAAACCCAGCTGAAATGGTTCGAACTTCAAAGCTTACCACTTCAATAGTTGGCTTGGAATAAAATAAGTATTCATGTAGTAGATATGGGCCATTAGCTAATTTATTATTGAAATCTTCACAACTACAAACCTTCCTTTTTTTTCATGATAAATTTACAAACTAATTTCATCAACTGAAATACTTAAAACTGATTCATATAAAAATTAAAATTGAGAGAAAATATTGTATAATGAAATTGCATTATACGTTGCAGCCTAAGGACATGGAGATAAAATAGTATCTTTGTCTTCTGTTAAAAAGGGAAAGAGTAGAGAAGATTAATGAATAAATAAATACAAATAAAAAAAAAGCAGAAAGCGGAAAGCTGACAAAGATTAATCGGACGATCTGGATTTACTCTATCAGCGCCCACGTGGTGGAAACCCTACAGTAATACCATGATAGTTGGGGTTGGGGCCTTTTGGGTTGGAGTTCGCCCCACGGCACCTCTCACCATTGTATTGGGAACATCTCGCCCCGACAAGTACGAGAGATGCTCCCAAGTCCCAGTGCACGCTGAGATGTGCATTGGGGCTCTTGTGGGGTGCTAATCTGATATCTTTGGGTCATTAGTCCAAAAAGACCAAAAATTCCAACTCCACATCCATTAGAAGGGGTTCGCATCTGCCCCCCAAATACGTCCCACACAATCGGAACACGACGCGTGTCATGAAACACGTGCACTAGGTGAGACGTGTGCGGAGTCAAGTTGACGCCGTTTCCAGCATCCCCGTTAATGAAACATGCGCCTAAAAGGTTTCTTCTCCCTTTCTTCTCCATTCACTTCGAACCGAAACCCTGAAACCCTTGGCGCCCCCATTCTTCTCCATCCACCCACCCACCGGTCGAGTTCTGCCGGCCGCCGACCATACCGGCAGGAGGTAAGTAGTCTGTAATGTAAGTTTTTCTCATTCCTTTTTTTTTTGTTTTTTTTCTCATTCGTTTTCTAATATTCACAGATCTGAACCTACCGGAGTGGGAGCCCCCTGACGCCGCTTTACACCCCCTTCGGTGACCCACCGGTCGACGCCGACGATCATACCGGCAGGAGGTAAGTTTTCTCATTTCTTATCTTTTTTTTTTTTCTTAGATCTGAAATCCGAGACTGTATAACATTCTCAGTTTGATATTAATGTGATTTTTGAATTGAATATGACGATCTAAACGAAGCATGTGGTTTTTGTTTCATTTTCTAACATTCTCAATTTGTATTAATGTGATTTTTGAATTGAATATGACGATTTAAACGAAGCATGTGGTTTGATTATGGAAAAGAGCCAGAGCATATTCACGCCACCCATTTTCTAACATTCTCATTTCCATTGGACGCATTTTCTAACATATTTTTTTGTTTCATTTTCTAACAATATCTAGCATTCTCAGTTTGAACCAGAAGGCAGATGGCAGAAAGAGATTAGATTTCAAACCAAGAAATTCTTATTCAAAGAGATGAAGATAAAAGGGCAAGAAGCTGTTAAAGTAAGGGAAGAGAAGACGGTGATGATTTACCTAGTGGGAGAAGTGACAACATGGTTCAAAGGATTTCTAGACGTGGCGACAGATCAGTGAAGACCAGACTTACAGCATAGGGTTGATCGTAGTGTGTATCACCATAAGCACTCTAATGACCCTGATATAATACATATTGGCCGATATGCCTTTTTTATGATTATTTATTTTGCTGTATATTCATTGCATCAATTTTGCTTGCACTATAAAGTCCATGGATAATAAACCATCATCAAAGTTCCAAAATATAATTCTCAAATCAGATGGACGAAAATTATCTTAAGTCTTAACCTTTTGATTTTCTTAGCATCTCAGTTTCAGAGATGGAGCACTTTTGACCCTTTAACAATAGAATAGCTCCATGGCTATGTCGCATCATGTAAGCCCAGTTTGATGTGCCAGATTCATGGTTCTCAATTACCCATATTCAATTCCTATGCAACTTACAAACACCAAATGATTTTGATCAATGCTTTTATCAAAATAAATGATCGTATGATTTAGGTGGTGTGTATCACCATGTACCCAATTCATAATAAATCAACAGAATTTGCGGTCACCATATACCCAACTAATCTAGAACGAAAAGTAACATGGTCTAATGGTGAGGCTCATTCTCTATATCTTTATGGAGATTGGTGCTATGCTAGTTCAACATGATCATTCTGAAAATACAGCCTTGGTTTTCTCACAGCCTTAGTCGATGATCAAAGTTTCATTCATGCATAGTATATTGGTTTAGGAATCTTCATTATGAACTTGTAAGGTGCACCGAACCCATGATACCAAAAGTGGTAGGTACCCAGTTGGCACTTTGATCATTCAATCTGCAACATATTCAATCTTACCCCTACAGAGGAATATTACACAGTTCAAAATACTAAGTACACCTAAATACTAGTTCTTATACATGTACAAGACAAATATAAACACAATTGCAAAACTTATTGTCAAAATCCTTCGGTAAATAAGTGCTGAGAAGCCTTGAAAGCATCCAACCTTCAACAACTAATTTCTCTAGCTTTTCAATACGACTTTCCAGATGCACTACATTGTTCTTGTTGAGGTGGCTTCATCTAAAGTATTTATAGGAACTGCCCATTCAAAAAAATTGCAAGACTTCATATTGGAGTTCCGAGTTTCCTCATTGGTATCATTTACCTACATACATTTAGACACAAGTCAATACATCTAAAATAACTAGACCCGTCATCTTTCACGCAATGAAATCAAAATACTACTTACCATTTTTCTAGGGCAAGTGTAAAACAATCTTTGAGGATTAGCAGGTGTATCTGACACTCGAATTATGCATTTTCTTCCACACTTGCAGTATCTGGCATTATATTTCAGGTACTTATAAAACCTAATTTCGGATGTGGATTGAGAATTCATTCCTACATTTATATACACCAGAGTCAAATTTTAAAATAAAATTCACTTTTAAAAATATAAATTCTCAAAATATTCCAAAACATTTAGCATGCATGTGGATTGAGAACTCTCTCTTTGCACCTGCTTCAAACATTTGGCATGCATGTGGAGTAGAGTCTGGCAGAGAAGCGCCATTAACTCAGAGATGATCTCTTTGCTAAACAGGTGGCAACTGAATCTTGATCTTCTCTATAGAAGCAGAGAGGATCAAGATCTTACAGTTTGACGGATCTCATTAGGGAAATACCAATTCCAAAAATACTTTCTAAGGAAATGCCAGTTGAACCTTTATTCAGACTCAAGAGGGTTCAGACATCAGAGTTCAACCATCTAAATGCATGTGTTTGTACTTGCCAGCCAAATTAGCTAGTGGTAAGACCATGGTGGTCTAGGCTACCTCACAGGACAATTAACCCTAGACCCAAGTTCATGCTGCAACCAATTGGTAGAATTGTGCAGACCTGTTACTGTTAGTGTTCTCTCAGGCCAGGCGCAAAGGAGCAGCAAGGGGCTTGAGCCTTGAGGGAAGAAAGGAGGAACCTTTTGTAGATATTGAAACTTGTGCATTTTAAGAATAAACAAGTAAATAAAGAAACAGTTTTAGAGGAATGGGTCTTCATGGGTGGCATGAATATGCTCTGGCTCTTTTCCATAATCAAACCAGATGCTTCGTTTAAATCGTCATATTCATTTCAAAAATCACATTAATATCAAACTGAGAATGTTAGAAAATGAAACAAAAACCACATGCTTCGTTTAAATCGTCATATTGAATTCAAAAATCACAATAATATCAAACTGAGAATGTTATACAGTCTCGGATTTCACATCTGAGAAAAAAAAGATAAGAAATGAGAAAACTTACCACCTGCCGGTATGGTCATCGGCGTCGACCGGTGGGTCACCGAAGGGGGTGTAAAGCGGCATCAGGGGGGGCTCCCACTCCGGTAGGTTCAGATCTGTGAATATTAGAAAACGAATGAGAAAAAAACAAAAAAAAAGAAATGAGAAAAACTTACATTACAGACTACTTACCTCCTGCCGGTATGGTCGTCGGCCGGCGGAACTCGACCGGTGGGTGATAGAGAAGAATGGGGGCGCCAAGGGTTTCAGGGTTTCGGTTCGAAGTGAATGGAGAAGAAACCCTTTAGGCGCATGTTTCATTAACGGGGATGCTGGAAACGGCGTCAACTTGACTTCGCACGCGTCTCACCTAGTGTGCGTGTTTCATGACACGCGTCGTGTTCCGATTGTGTGGGGCGTATTTTGGGGGCAAATATGTGGGGGCAGATGCGAACCCATTAGAAGATAGTAGATGGCTATTATAGTCTATTTCCCTATTCGTTTGTATCATCGATTCATCGTTTAGACTTTTGAATTCCAAAGATATTATTTGTGTAATTGTGTTCCTCTCTGTCGTTTTTCACCTTTCTTTTTTTTTATTTTTTGACATATTTTCAATTTTAAATAACGTAATACGTAAGGTTGCACCGAAAAGAAGGTAAATGGAAAAATAAAAAAGAATATAAACCATTTTTGGAAAAAAATATTCATATTTTATTTACGAGTTTCATACAATTCTACGTTTTTACTTTCTTTATTCATTAATATTTGTCTCACTGATGCGAAGGTGCAGAACGTCGTTTCCTCGTTTTGTTTCTGCAATCTCTGCGACGGGGGAAGGCCTTTTAGCAGTCTCTCTCTCTATTTCCCTCACCTTTATCCTGTTAGCGACCGATCGAAAGGTTTATATAAAAAGAAGATCGAAACCCTAGTTTCCACTTATCGGACACTTTTGAATGATTTGCTTTACGTATCTCTCTATCTTTTTATTTGATTCAGGTAGTTGGTGATCATCTCCTCCCTGATTTTTGATTAGATGTTCTTCCATGGTTTAAGGGTTTAAGGAATCAGAGCGGAAGCAATAGAAATTGTGCAATTTGATGCTTATTTTGGAGTGGCTTATATTGGGACTTCTTGCAATTTTATATGATATTCTGTCTTTCTGCGCGGTGGAGAATGTGAGATTCGCACTGGATTTCTCTTCTTTTGACGGTTGGTAACAAACCAGTGATTCTATATTTGCTTCCCAGCTTTGGATTTAGTTTTAAGGATCGGCTTCTGGGGAATTTGGTACGCGGTATATTGCTCGATTATGAGTTCTCCTTTAACCTTGTATCAACTGTAGATGCTTCTACAATAGTGGGAGAAACAGCTTCATATTAGTTTCTAAAGCCAAGGGCTTAGTTATTTCCCCTTCTAATATATTTTAGTGGCGGCTCTTATGTGGCGCATCTTGAGCGGGCCGGTGGTCAATGAAAAGATACCTAGATAGGCGCAGTATACTGGTAAACGCAAGCTAGCAATCCATTCCTCCAAATTGGGTACATTTAGCTGAGCATTTTGGTTAGGTTGCTGAGCCAGAGCCATTTAAGAGAGCACAATGGTTGAAGCTTTTCTGTATTTGGGCTAGAGGGTTTGAGTCTCTGACTATGCTGCGTTGGTTGAAATAATGAAGACATTCACAATTGAGTTTCAAGACATTGCTTAATGAACATGGGCTTGCATTACTGAAATTTTCCAAAGACAAATTCTGTTCTATTTTTGGAAACGTAGGCTGATATTTTTTCGTCTAAATAGGAAATCTGCAAGTTTTCTAGAATGAGCTCTGAGGGGGAACATCAATCCTTACCACCACAGCCAATTCAAATTGAAAAGAAATCTCAGTAAGTATAGGAAATTTCCTCCCGTCTTTTTCTTTTTTTTGTGACCCTTTTTTTCTTGCCTATCTTTTGGTTCATCCATGCATTAACTTGTTTCTTTTAATAATGGGGTTCAGGATGTCAAAAATTTCGTATACAAGAGATTTTTTGTTATCTTTAAGTGAGTTGGATATTTGCAAAAAGTTACCCAGTGGTTTTGACTCATCTATTTTAAGGTATGTGGTGCTATACTTCACCTCACACAAAATTGCTTCCCCCCCATGGTGAGTTTTTAAGCTCTTAAGCTCGAGTCTTATTTTCCAGTTCATGCTGTTCATACTTGGCATCGTTGTTCTTCAGTATTTTGGAATGTGTTGCTCTTAATCTGGTGTTTCTTCCGAAACAGCGAATTTGAGGATGCACCTCATAGTGTACTGGAGCGACAAAGAATTCCTGGAAGCTTTCCTTTGCAAAGTTTCAGGCGTGGTGAATATGGGTCCTCCCCACCTTCCAGAGGGGATTCTACTAGTTATTCTCGAGGAAGCCATGGAAGATGGGACACCCGTTCTTCAGGGTCAAATGATAAAGATGGTGATTCACAATCAGATAGGGATTCAGGTATTAGTTGCCTATTTGATTCTTTTCTCTACTTTATCATCTCTGGTCATTACTTGTCAGGGAAAAGGAAGTTGTATGGATATTTCTCTGGTGATATATGCATGATACCATGGATGCAGTTCTGTGTAAGAGAGGTGTCAATTAGATAACAGTTTTAACTATATCTACTCTAGATCTTGACATCTTTAACCTTGGACCAACTTACACAGTGTAGAAGCCATTTCTAAGACATAGTTGTTGAGTTTTTTTTTTTTTTTTTAATTTGTTGCGAATCATCTATAATGTAATTAATGTAGTACCATTGCAAGCATAGGAAATTGAGACTGAGACTCTTCACTGGTCACCAATGGCTTGCTGTCTGTTACTGTACTCGGTCTACCAAAACTAAAATGAAATAATACTTACAATCCGTAAACGTGCAAGTATCTTATTTTGCAAAGTGCATAGTGGTGGGACAGACTGAATATTGGTACAACTATGATGTTTATGCTGGAATGCCTATCCATAACAGTAAGTTATTAATATGGATGAATTCCAGGTGTCTGTGTTTCTTGTATATGATACTGATTTTTCAAATGTAAATTTGATAACCTGAGAGGTTTTTAGACATATTCACAAATCACATTACAAAGGATTTTTTTTTTTTTCTGATATCTTGTGAAGAGCTATACAACGGGGGTAGCCCGACCAGCAGGAGACCTTACCAAACAGCTGGTTGGCACCTTGCCATTACGAAGGAAATTCTTGACCTTAGGCTTCATTAAACTAGTCATGATGTTTATGGATTTAATATTTTTAGGTTCATGTTTGTTGAATTACTATTATATTTGTATATTTATTTTTGGATAGATGATGAGTTGTATTGCCAGCATAATTGAGATGAGGATGTCCAAGTCATTGAATGAGTGACACAATTGGAAAGGATATCTAAATTCTTTAATAGAAAAAATAATGTCTTGAGACAATTGGTTGCGTCTAGGTTTCTACATGACTAATTTTCCATTCCCTTCAATTGATTTAGATTTACTTTCATTGCTAAATCTGGTATTTAAAATTTTCTCCAAGTAAAATGGTACATTAAATACCATTGTCATATCAATTAATTATATCATAATTAATTCTTCTCTTTACCCTGAAGTAAATAGCACATTAATTTCTCTTATTTATTACATCTTTCCAAATCTCTGTAGAATTTGCACTCCTACCCTTGCTTCACATTCTGTTGGTGGTTAACTCTAATGTAGAAGACATTTTCAATGAAATATCTTTTTTTAGCAGAATTGAAAAAAAGGACAAAAGGAGAGCATAACTATGAATAAAATAGGTTATAAAGCACTCCACGAGCAAGCATGCAGAATTCACTAGTAAATAATTACAAATGATTTCATTGATAGGAAACTAGGTTGAAATCAATAGGTAGTGAGGTAAGGAAAGTTTACTAAAAATGATTATGTCGCATATTGAAGCATTATCAAAAAGCCAAGTCTTTAAGAGCTGAAATTCTTATACTTCTTCAAGAACAGGACAGATATCCCTATGATCCAGAAAATTCAAATGGCTGTCACAGGACATGTTAATCCGAGTGAAATGGGTGAGGACTGAGGAAGACTGCTAATAGCTTGGCAGATAGCTTAGCCAAGCAAGGGGTACATAAGAACACATATGTTTTGGGCTCAAATGTAGTACTGATTTGGGACAGCTTCTATTGCTGGTTCCTTTCACAACTTCTTGTTGTAATCATGTTTCTCTCATAATTAATGAAATTTTTTGTGTTGCTGATAAAAAAAAGATATCCCTATGATCCAAAAAAAGAAAGAAAAAAAGGTTAGATGGCTCTTGGGTACCCCACCATTTAATAAGGGGTAAAATATAAAAACCTCCCCTGAGGTTTCACTTTCACAAAAACCTCCCTTCTAGTATTAAAAAAACCTGCAGTTACCTCCCTTTTGTTATTGTCTTGGATGAAAAACATTGGCCTAATCCATTTTTTTTTCAAAAGTACCCTTTGTACTCTTATATCAATAAATTCAGATGGAAGTTTAAAATACCCCAAAAGAACTTTTCAATTTTAATTAAAAAAAATTCCCCAAGTCAGATTGATAAGAATAAAGTAATTTCACTCTATAAAAATGTTAGGTCTAGTGAAGTCTAGAAGGGCAAATCTGGCATTTTGAATTATATTGGAAGACGCCCTAATAAGTTGTAAGGGTTAACTTTGAAGTCTCCATTACTCGGACAAAGATGAAAGGAAGGTAACTGCAGGTTTTTGCGAAACTATAGCGGAGGTTTTTCATTTTTTGTTAAAGTGAAACCTCAGGAGAGGTTATTATGATTGTCAGAAAGGGGAGGTTTTTAATTTTTTATATTTACCCTTTAATAAGAGAAGCTTAAATTTTAGTGTCCATGCTGAACTGCCCATTCAAATGGATATCCGGAACCACTGATGTGGTAGCGCACACACTTGCAAGGGATGAAGGGAGAATCTACTATTGGGGGGGGGGACCAGGTCTGGGAATCAATATGCTCTGAAATGAGGGTGAATTCTAATGATGCTTGCCCTTGGGCTGATTGTATGTGTTCCTTCTATCCCATTAGGATAAAGGGGGTTTCTTCCTTTCTTGAGTTTTTGATGCAGGAGCTGAAGAGTCAAAATGGGAATTTTCTGAAAATTTATATAGTTCTTTATTTTTGGATATTAGGGGTATTTTTGTCATTTTATCTCTATTGGAGGGGGGGATAATGATAAGGTCTTACTTGTCTAGTTATAGTTTGTTTATCTATAACTAGAATCAACAACCATCATTTTTTTAATCAAAAGACTGGAATTGAACTAGTCCTATGCCAATTTGGTATCAAAGCTAATGGTTATTTACAATGTTCTCACAAAGTGATAGATTCTATAGGCCTAGGGTATATTCTAACCAACCTTACTGGTATAGAATCAATGATACTTGGGTTTTTGAACTATATGAAGGGTCTTTGGTCAACTTATTTGAGAAGATGGTGGAAGAAAACAGATCTAATAATGTTGACTACAGTGAGTAAGGTTTTCAAGAATGTTAGAAGAGAAAGGGAAATATCAGTTTTCAAAGGAGATGATGATCTACAAGTATTCTTTGATTGGGTTGCTGAACTAGAAGAATAGTTTGATTGGCATAATATGTCTGACAAAATGGATTAGATTTACACACATGATGTTCATGGTCATACTAATGTATGGTGGAAAACTCTTGAGCAATGACTAGAAAACAGAGGTGATGATTTTGTTGCTACATGGGAAGAGATGAAAAGGTGTTTGCAAGAAAAAAGTACATTCCACTAGAGTACTAGATTTCCTTGATGATCTATATATTATGGAGTTAACTATTCTCTAGTAAGGTATGCTCTCTGTAGATCAATGTATGCATAAATTTGATGAGTTATCTACTAGATTTGACACTACTAGGATTGCAACTTGGATGGGCCCAACCTGAGCCATGATTGGCCTAGCCCTCAATTTTACATGGGTTGGGCTTGGGCCTCGCCCTTAGGTAGCCTGAACTTGACTCGAACCTAGTCTGACCTTAGCCCAATCTGAGCCTGACTTGAATGTATATATGCATATACATGCATACATGCATATATGTATATTTTTTTGGTAAACCATACATATATGCATACATGGATGCATATACACAATATACATTTATATCATTTTTTTTTTGATCCATCATTTATATCATTTTTTAGTATATGAGCCTATTGACCATCCCGAGCCTAGCTTGAACCCAACCCGACTAAATCAAATTTCAGTATACATGGGGCTTGGGTTGGACAGTTTGGGCTTGGTTCGAGCTTGGCCTTAGGCCTAATTCTTAGGGTTGGGCCTGGGTTGAGCTTAAACCCAGCCCAGCCTGCCTAATTTGCACCCCTAGATACTATAGAAAATGAAAGGCACACCAGTGATTTAAAAGGCGTGCCTGGTATGCATCTTGCCTAGGTCCTAGGCGCACCCCTTTCAAAAGGCGTACGCCTGGTGTGTGCGCATTGTGCCTCAGCCTAGGCGTGTGCCTTTATAAAATTTTGTGCTTTTTGCGCCCCCGACCCTTGACCACACCCCTCGAGGCAAGCCCGAACAAGTCTATGTTAGGGTCTGAAATTCTTATTTTTCACATAAAAAATAATGATTTTATAACTTTCATTGCCTTTTAAGAAGATATTTTATTGCAATGAGTGAATGAACAACATTAGCAAATAAGGGGTTCTCAGAGCTTCGGTGAGCGAGCGAGTCGTAGTAGAACCCCCCTGTTTTCTAATGTTGTTCAGTTGCAATTAAATATCTTCTTAAAGGTAATGAAAGTTATAAAATCATTATTTTTTATGTGAGAAATAATAATTTCAGACCCTAACATAAACTTGTTTGGGCTTGCCTCGAGGGGCGTGGTACAAAGGTGACTCATAGAATCAAGAATGCAATATGTTTTACATCACATTAGCTACTTGAAGCAATGTAATTAAGGGAAAAAAAGAGATTGCGGGTTTTACATGCTTGAAAATGCTTTATATGTTTGCTTTTGTTTTTAAATTTTCATTTGAATACGCTTTACATGTTATGTTTATGCATTTTAATTTTAGATAATAGGTTTTTTAAAGCATTTATTTTAAAATTTAAGTTTATATTTTTTATTAACATTATGTTTAATAATTTTTTATTTTTTTGCGTTTTTTATTTTTTTTGAATTTTCTGGATTTTTTATTTTTTGAATTTGCACCTTGCTTAAAAAGGCACACGCCTTGCCTTGTGCCTCGCGCCTCAGGCGCAAATTGGCCCTTGCGCTTTTAAAACACTGAGGCACACATTAGCTTGTTTTAAGAATGGACTAAGGGCTGATATTAAGAAGGGAAGTGTCTACAATTCAAATTTATTAATTAGATCATGCTTTTGAATCAATTCTCAACTAAGAATTTGAGGCCAATGGGAAGAAGATTGAAAGTTGAAGATAAAGCAGATGATCTTGCATTTTGATGCCTATCATAGCGCTAAAGTTGAGAATGAAGCTAAAGAACTAGAACTTCAACCTATAGAAGTTGTAGACATTGAAGATCAAGAGGATGCGGGTCAAGAGAATATAGTTGTAGGAGTTCCCAACACTCGTAATCAGCTTGTGAGGTTAATGATCAAGAAGAGATGGAGGTGGAACAAATTGAAATTCAGGTGCAAGATACAAATGTGTTGGTTGCGGTAGATCTTTGGAAGTATTAACTATTAACTTTACCTTACAAGTTCAACTGGAATGAATTCAAGAATTAGAAACTGACATATCACGTTCCACTAACATCAATAATGGAATAAGCCCTGGAGTTTGCCGAAGAACCAAGGGTAGCTGAGCATATAGAGATGCTGGTTCCTAACTAGAGATTGAAGGAAAAATTCCAAATGTTGCATTTGAGATTTTGGATTTGAAAGTTTGTAGTGATAAACAAGGAGAAGATTCACCACAAGATAGGCAGATTAATGATTTAAGTGTTCAAGAGGCTAATATTATTGATGATTTAAAGGAGTAGATTATGGAGGCAGTGTTTCAGATATAAATTGCTTTGAAGATCCATTTCTAGTTGAAGTAGCTATGGGAGCTCCTACTCTTTCTGTCATAGGGGCATATCAACTTTTCATCCTCAAGTTCTTCAAAACTTGAGGATGAGGTTTTTTTTTTGAACCGGAGGAGAATAATGTAGGAGCTTAAGAGTCAAAATAGGTTTTTTTTTTCTGAAAATTTATGTATTTTTATATTTTTGGATAGTAGGGGTATTTTTGTCATTTTATAATTTTGCAGGGTCCAATGATAGGATCTGATTTGTCTAGTTATAGGTTGTTTATATTTAATGTTTAAGTCATTGAATAAATAGTATATGAGTTATTGAGTCTTCTTTGAATTGAAATAGGATAATGGCAATTCAGTTGACTGCTACTAGGATTCTTATGAGTCTTGAGTTTAAAATTATGTATGGATGTTTTACAAAAGTTCAATGAAGTTTATTTAGTTTTCTTGAGTTTATCCAAATTATGGTGAGTAATTCCCATACTCTAGACTAGAGTGATTCTAGCTTCCCTGTGAATGATTCCGGATATTCTCTTTCTTCTTTCTCTTTCTTATTTTCTTTCTTATTCCTTCAAGAAACCATTACAGTCATCAACAGCCATAATTTTTTTCCCAAAACACTGGAACTGAACTGGTCCTACATCAGTTTTAATACAATTATCCATGGTTAATGATAAAAAAGACAAGGATTTTGAATTGTAAGTGTTTAAAATAGAAATCTATTATATACATACCTTTCTGTCATGCCATGTGTTAGAATATCTTTGGAAATAGAGAAGAAGGCAATAAGGAGAGCCATGCAATTGGTAGGGAGGGGTCAGTTAAGGATTGAGGCTTTGACAGCAGGCGGGTAGGAAGAAAGGACTTTTGAAAGAAATTGACCAATTGCTTGATTGTGAATAGAGTAGAATTGTTTGAGAGTTAAAAATAGGGATTTTTGGGGTGAAAGGGGAGGGTTTAAATCTTATGGACTTACCTTAATAGTACATAGGGATGGAAAACTAGGTTTTTGGAGGGGATTTTGGGGTGCATATAGCAATTGCACTTTAGAGAAGAGGAGTGGGGGTGGTCAGCTATTGTCAAATGGAAGTAAATGTAGCCACAGGATGTTTGTGATATACTAGAAAATAAATACAATATGCAAAGGTAATAATCCAGAGTATAACCCAGATATAAAAGATCTAAGAACATGGCAGAAATGGATGCAAAATTTTGATAGTAGACATGGGTGAGAATATGTTTGAATCACTGGGCTGGGCCAATTCCACTGGTTTCAAATCTCACTAATTGGATCCAATTTTATAATAGAGCAGAATTTGGGGAAAAGGGATGTTAGACTCATGATTGATGGTCTTCTCTCCATATTGATGCACAAAGGCTCCTGGGTTGACATTTCCGTTCTTACATATATATCATGATTTTTGGGCATTTAGTCTTTCTATCATGGGCTTAGCTGATGGAATGTGTATTCTATCTACTGGTCCTGTTTCAAGATGTTATTAATTTAAATACATATCAATATCTTTTTTGATATTTGAAGACATGGGTCTATTAACTCTTTATGCTATTATGATTAATGATTTCATATCTATTTGTACTTGGATTATCTTGTGTAGTTAGTAGATGTATTGGATTCTGTGGCCTTCTGAACACTTCCATTTGCTGTGCAGATTCTGGAAGACGTTATGTGGCCCAGTCTCGACGTTCTTGGCAAAATAATGAGCATGATGGGCTTCTGGGGAGTGGTGCATTTCCAAGACCATCTGGATATACTTCTGGACCTTCAGGTCCAAAGGTTCGAGGAAATGCTCATTACCAACTTAACAAGAGTAGCGAACCATATCATCCCCCACGTCCTTATAAGGTTGTCACCTTATACATTTATTTATTTTATCTACTTGTGAATTTAAAGCAGCAACAGTTAGATGTCTTTTGAGTCCTCCTACATTTTGATCAATTCTTATCTATGCATTTAATGATTCAGAAAACATAATAATCATTTTCCTGTGTAAATGACTAAAATTGCTATTTACTAACCTTTATGCTATATTCTTTCCTATATTTCTCCTTCAGGCAGTTCCACATTCACGAAAGGACATAACTGACTCATTTAATGATGAAACATTTGGTTCTACTGAATGTTCAAGTCAGGATAGAGCAGAAGAAGAAAGGAGAAGAAGAGGTACTGTTTTTTACTGTCCCTGAATAAGTTTTTGTGCTGGTTGGCAAGTCTTCTTTCTTCTTGTTTGTGCTCCTAGTCTTAGAATTGACATGAATAGCATTTGATGATTCAGCTTCCTTTGAGTTGATGAGGAAGGAACAACAAAAAGCACTTCAAGAGAAGCAGAAACAGGTCACCGACAGGCATAAAGAAAATCTTGATCCTGATATTGCTGCACTCTTGGAGGATTCTGAAGATAATAAAGGGGTATGGAACAAAAAAAATGGATCAGAAGAGTTGGTTGTACTGCTAGCTTCTGAAAGTGATTCTGTCCGGTCTTCTTTTGCTACACAAACTCCAGCAAGCAGACCTCTTGTACCCCCAGGTTTTACGAGCACAATCCTTGAGAAGAATCTTGGAACAAAGTTGATCACTCCCCCTACACCAGAGGTAATTATCTGTGTATTTCTGGGATTTCCCTAGAAATCTTGATGGTCTGAAGTGCTTGCTTAGTGTAGCCTCTTTGTCTATTTGGTAGACAAATCCTTGGACCTGCATTGGAGGTTTGAATGGGTATGTACGGAAAAGCAGTTGCATACAGGTTTCTTGGCATCGCTCAGGTCTTACAAGTGCCATGCAATAAAAATACAAAGTGGACCTGAGGAATAAAATTTGGGCATCTGTTGATCCACATTGGCCACTATGATATTGGGTTTGCCTCTATATGTTCAATACCTAGACAAAAGCAACCTTCAAAAAATTACAACAGCACCTTATCCCTAGAAAGCAACCCACTTATCCCATCTATACTGAATGATCAGGATAAGGAATTGGTAGATCTAGGAACCCGAGAGTATGATATCTTGCTCCTTCTAGAAGTGACCATCCCACCCTATTACAATACTTGTTGCCTCTCACATTCACTTTGCTTTGAGTTAGATGGTTGAATGCCTTGACAAAAGGGTGGATTGGGGTTGTCTGGTTGGGTTTGAAAGGGGGGGGGGGCAAAAGTTTCGAAAATGATTGTATTCTTATGGGACCTTTCTCCATAGGGAAAAGTTGTTCAATAAGTACAGTAGATTGATTAATCAGTCATGATTAGTGTTTGATAAAATCATGCATATATGCCTGCTGTTTTAGCTAGTATTGAAATACCCCAAACAAAATGTCATTGAAGTTTCTATGTGAAGCTTCTTACATGTTCACTGCATCTTGCCCTTAATTTGTAGTTAATGTTTTGGACCATGAAGCAATTTTCTGTTTCTTTCCTTTTGTTTTCTGTTAAATATAGATATTTTTGAAAATTTACATGAAGACCGAAGATGGGGCCATGGAAGTTTGTATTTTTCATGATTTAGAATGCTGAAGTGTTGTCTCTGATTACTTGTTAATAATCTACTATTCTGTTACTTCTGCAGGTTGAGAATGTTGCATTTGAGGGTAACATTATTCACAGCAGTAATCTCCTGGCAAATGGGGATTCTGAAAAACTAAAGGAGAAAAAATCATTGAAGCATATGGATTCCAGTGAGCAGGAGCCTGAGAGTAAAACTATTCAAGTTCCTTTTATGGAGGAGAGTGAAGAAATTGTGATCCCTTTGTCATCTCAAGAAGTTTCTGGCAGTTCATTTGGAGCTACTAACCCATCATGTAAAACTTCTAATCTATCAGAAGTGTGTGAAAGGAAGATGGATGGTGAAGTTGCAGATGTTGATGCTGAGAAAGTTACGGGGCATGATGTTTCAGGCACAACTGGTCAAGATAATTCAACATCTATCCTAGATAAGCTGTTCGGCAGTGCTCTGACTGTAAATAGTGGTGTCTCCTCAAGCTTGATTGAGGTAATCATGATCATTTCGGGTTAACCTTATTTTTTGATTCATAACTGTGTATAACTCGTCATATTTTTATGAAAGAATGGAATAGACAGACTGATGTGCCAGGTGCCCCTGAAATTGACCTTGCCCCCACAAATGTTCAAATTTTTAACATTATACACCCTGTATCAGGCATAAGTATCGTATCAGTGAGTGCTCAAAACATCAAATACAGGCTTTTTGGTCTTTTGACCTATTTCAAGGGGTAGACAAGCCTAAGACCTACCCCCTGATCTATTTTTGAAAAAAAACTAAAAAAAGACATGCGTTAGCCGTTAGGTACAAAGTACCGATACACCCCTTCTAGCGTATTGGGGTGTATCAATACTTTGAACCTTGGCCCCCAGTTGCCTCACTACCCTTCTGGTTTCCATCACAAATGCTCCCTTGGGAAATCAAACCCCAGTACAACTGATTCCTAATTGCTCCTTGTCATGTTAGCCCACCAGCCTAATTGTTGGCAGACCTCCAATTATAGCTTCTTCTTAGATCCTTTTCCAGTTTAATCTCCCTTATGATGCATCTGCATGCTCAAGAGCCTGTATTACTCTTTTTTAACCATCCTACCACTGTTTGGTGTCTCCTTCCACCATCCAATCACTATAACTGTGTGACTTTAGCTAGTATTATTCCTTGCAACACTGCCAATAGTTCCGCTCATGTTGAGTACTTGAGTTACCATAGCCAATGGGTCCTGAAAATAAATCTAGTATGTCTCCACCACAACTTCTAAAAACCCCCTTTACGCTGAACAAACTTGAGATCCTTTCATGGCAACAGACATTTTTTCATGCCTTTTCTACCTGTCTATTTCTTTATATGTTTCTTATGATCTGTGACATTACAAATGAACTGTAGTCATAACATACATTCTTCTTGAATACTAAACAGTTTTTGTAGGATAAGCTTTTTCTCTTTCAATGTCCTCCTGTTGTAGGAAATATTGATGGAGTCCTCTCCGTATTTTAAAAGGTGTGTCTAGACACACAGGCAAGGTGCATTTTAAGCTATGCACCTTGCCTAAACCCAGGTCAAGCTCCTTTGAAAAGGTTTGAGCTTGGTACTCCTTGCACCTCAGCCTAGGCATGTGTTTTTTTTTTTTTTGCAAGTTTTTGTGTGTTTTACACTCTTGAAATGTCTTATCAATTTCTAAGTTACCTTTTTATTGATGTTTGTACACTAGTGATGCTCTAATAACTTTTATTATATACCTTAAGCATTAGTTCTTGCAATTAGAATCTCAAATAGCAAAATTTCTACTAAAAGAAGTAGCAGCAAGACAACTAATATCTGATCCCTAATCTTAACATAGAATGAAAGCCAACCTCTTCATATATTTGGGCAAGAGGTTGGCTTTCATTGATGTTTGTACACTCTTGAAATGTCTTATCAATTTCTAAGTTACCTTTTATTGATGTTTGTACACTAGTGATGCTCTAATAAATTTTATTATATACCTTAAGCATTAGTTCTTGCAATTAGAATCTCAAATAGCAAAATTTCCACTAAAAGACAACTAATATCTGATCCCTAATCTTAACATAGAATGAAAGCCAACCTCTTCATATATTTGGGTAAGAAATTTAGGTTGGGGGCCACACTACCGCAAGTCCCTACATGGACTTATTCAGGCTTTTGCCTCCAAGGGGCCTTTACAAAAGTGGATGATCAATCTCCTAGGATTAGGAATACAATATGTTTAACATCACACTAGCTACTTGAAGTAATGCAACTAAGAAATAAGCAAACATTTATTATTATTTTTTTTTCAGAATTTGTTTCTTTCTTTGAAAAGGCATGCACCTCGTCTTGGCGCTTTTAAAACACGGAGTCCTCTTCACAAGACTGAGATTTGAAGGTTTATAGTACTTTTTCTCTTAATTTTCTAATTGATGAATAAGGATTCATTTAAAAAAAATATTCTGATTTTTTTTAATGTTGAAAATTATTTGGTATTAGGGATGTCAATGAGTTGGGTTAAATGGTAATCCGGCTTGTCTTGACCCTCCAGGGTTTGATTTGGATTAGGGTAAGGTTTACCCCACCAGGTCATGCTACTCCTGCATATAGAGAGGGTATTCTTGCAATTTGGTACGACTTTTAACTCCTAGGATTTCTTTTCACGTTTGTTTTGGTTTTTCTTCTTTCACTATGCAGGAAGTGATGCCTTGGAACCCATAGACCAAATTCCAACTTAAATTAATTGCCCTTGGGTTTTCAAAATGTGTTATAAAAAATACAATAGAAATACTGTGCATTGGGTTGGGTCAGTATTGGGTTGAACCCTATAGGGTCGACTCGTGTTAGGAAACTGCATGTTCTTCTATCAGGTTGGGAGCATTGGATGGTCGGGTGCCCAGGTTAGTGTGAAGGCAATCACGTACTGAACCTGGCCTGTCTGATAGGTATCTAGGGTCCCCCCCAAGGTAAGGTATAATTTGTATTGTTATAAGAAGACATATCATACTTATATCTGTGGCTAATTATGAGGAGCTGTACATAAGTAACATAACTATAAAACTGAAATGTCAATAGTGGTCAGGATTAATTGTGGTCTCTGGAATGCAATATAGTGCTTCTTCAGTCTTTGCTATAATGCTGCCTTAATCACTCTTTTGTTCCTCTTTGGTAGTGCTATAATGCTCTGAATTAACATTTTGATTCCTATAATTTCTTTTGCTCCATCAGCAAAATGATATGAAAGCGGATGACACATGGAACCCAATATCCTTCCAATCTTCGAAATTTGCTCATTGGTTTCTTGAAGAAGGTAAGCTCAAGTCAATGTTTTTTGAACTGCTTCCTCTATACCTTGGACTGCTCTTCTGTTAACTTTCGATCTTTAAAATTTGTTGATTGCTGCTTCTATCTTACTGCAGAAAAGAAACCAGTAGATGATCTTTCATCTGGAAAACCTAGAGACCTACTTTCATTGATTGTTAACAGTGAGAAAGATGGACAAAAGCTGTCTGAAGTGTCTGATGAGAAAGCCACTGAACATGCCTTCCCACTCTTCCCTGTTGAAAGCAATGAACTGACCCATGGGTTTATTACATCTACTGCAACTTCTGCCACAGTTGGAACCTCTGAAGCATACCATTATAATAAACCAGCTGCCACACCAGGAGTACTTACATGTGAGGACCTTGAACAGTCTATCCTATCAGAGATTAATGAAACCAGTCCAAGTCTGCAGCATCCAGCTCAATCCTGGAATGTTTTGGATGAAAAAGCTGAACAGCCAAGAGCTGATGTGGATGACCGTGCATCTCAGCACCTTCTTTCTTTGTTACAAAAGGGAGCAAGTCAGAAAGATCCAGCACCATCCCCTAATCTAGATATAGGATTATTTGACAAACCCAGTGCATATGGAAGTGTAAACCCTCTAATTAACAGTTCAAGCGAGGACAATGTTGACAAAATGCAGAGCTCTGAAAAGACATTGACTCTTGAGACACTATTTGGCACTGCCTTCATGAAGGAGCTGCACTCAGTGGAAGCACCAGTCTCTGTGCAAAGAGGCTCACTTGGTGGAGCCACAAGAAGTGATTTTCAAGAATCTCAAGCACTGCCATTTCCAGTTACTGATGATGGTTTCTTTTCTTCCAAAGTTGATGAATATGGATCCAAGACTGCTTATGAAGGTAATGTTTTGGCATCAAACCATATACTGCCAACCAAGTCTGACAAGATTGGGGGGCATTGGTTACGCTCTGATGATCATCAAATGCAAGTGAGGTCAAAAATCAATGCAGTTGGTGGATTTGAAGATAAAGCTGATGGTGTGATGGATATTAAGTTGCCTGAAGAAGAGAGCTTGATTACAGTTGGTGATCCAATTAACCCCTCAAACTCCACTTTTATTCCTGCTTTCCAATCCACTAAACCTGAGTTGCTCTCATCCTCAAGTACGCCATTTGACATTGCTGAGAAACTTGCAGCTCTAAATACTGTTGCCAAAGATGAAAGGTCAATGGTTCCGGGTTTGGAAGGCCCATCTTTTCTCTGTGGTCCTTATGAACCGGTGGAATCTGATATTCCATATCCAAATTTGCATGGCCAGCCATCTTCTCCACAGTTTAATCCTCAGATGACTCATGGAAGACCTTTATTCCATTCATTAGAGTCTCATGGTCACATGAATCCTCAAGTCAAGTTCATGGGTCCAGAGAGCATCATTCATCACGAACCCCCATCTCATCATTTCCCCACAAATATATTTCATGCACCACCTTTTCAACATGCTCCTCCTGGGCCAACAAGGCTTGATCCTTCTACTCATCATGCAATGTTGCAACAGATGCACATGCCAGGAAATTTTCCACCCCCTCACCTATTGCATGGACTACCAAGAGGTGCACCAATGCCTCAACACATCAATCAAATGGCTGGTTACATGCCAGAGTTGAATCCAATGCAGGGTTTTCCATTGAGTCACCGGCAACACTATGGTGGCATTGGAATGCCAATTCCAGGTAAAGCAGCTCACTGCTATTTGGTATTTTCTCTTGTTTTCTCTGGGCAAAACATGAAGTGAAAACAACACTGTTTCCAACCTCTTTATCTGTGGAAGACAAAATCTACATTTCACCTTCTAAAAATAAAATAAAAGGAAAAGAAAAAAAAAAGAAAATGCCAAAAAAAGAAGGGAAAAACTTATAGAAGACCGAGCTAGTTTTCTGCACTGTTCTTAATCTTGGCGAAGTTTCATGGTAGAATTCCTTTTCTTCAAGAGACTTTTTAATGAAATGCGGTGCTTGATTGCCCTAGGGTTATTTAGCAATTAGCACCCCGGGGTTGGATTCTTGACATGCATGTGCTCATCAACCATGTGTGATAATGTTCACTGTATTTTTATTGCACATGGGACGTGAGTTGCTTCAAGGGGACAATAAACGCTACAAGATCAGTGTACTTGCCTTTGGTCTATTTGCAAGACCATTGGAAGGTAGGCAATCTGGGGCATGTGCAACAGAGGTAAGCTCCAATTGAGTGCTCCAGATCAATGTGCAAGGATGCTGATGTCCAGTTGAATGGTGATTTCATCAATGTAAAATGATGATTTCAGGAACGTTTATATCTTCCCTTAGATAAACGTCTACAGTTTTAGATCAATCCTCTCCCAAAAAGTGATAACATATTACATGGATCAGGACAAGTACCAAAAGTTTGGTTGACCTGTATTAAACTTTATAAATCAGGTTTGTATGTGCATAAACGGCCCAAGTTTTAGATTCCCAAAAAGTGAACATATTTACATGGATCAATACAAGTACCTAAAGTTTGGCTGACCTGTATTAAACTTTATAAATCAGGATTGTATGTGCATCTGAATCATGATATGGCAGATTGACTTTTATGGTTGCGTGGCAGAAGATAGAAGAATACACTAGAAGTGCCTTACCTTCCTGGCTTCCTTTGAATCTGGGGATGGTCCATTTTCTCCTGTTTTCTTCCTCCCCCTGACTCCTTACGGTGTGGGGTGGGACTTGAATATCTGACTTGGTGAAATTAATTTCTTTGTTTTTTGGTAAATAAATTAATTTCTTTGAGATCATAACTGTTTTAACAATCTCATGTATTTTTTGGTGATTTCAGCTTCTGGTGGAGTTGGTGAAGGAAATCATCCAGAGGCATTTGAAAGGTTGATTGAGATGGAATTGAGGGCAAACGCAAAACAGATGAATCCCATATCTACTGCAGGCCATAATCTGGGGATGTACAATCATGAGCTTGACATGGGCTTCCGTTTTCGGTAGTAGATCAAGATGGTGTAGTGCTTCTGATATATCCCATGTATGGACTTCATTTTATTGCAGTGACCGGGGTCATTATTTGCTTGTTGCTGGGAAAGGATTTTGTAAGGTGGTGTATTATAAGAATTTCATTTGTCATTGGCATGTGGTTGAGATTTTGGGTATGCTCTTAGTGTTGGATAAAAAAGCAACATACAAACACGCGCACAGACGCTTAGAGTAGAAATGATTGCTCGGACTGTTCACGGTTATATTGCACACCAGTATTTCTATGGATCGATTGGCCAAATTCTTTATCCAGTGCCACATTGTTGAACAAAGCTCGGGAGGTACTGGGGAGGCCAATCCAGGTGCCATTTTATTAGATGGCGGCATCATTGAATGGCCTAGTCCCATATTGGAAGTTTCAAAAGATGGATGATGAAAAAATTATGGCTGCATTTTAAAATAGACAGAAATGAGCAATTGAGGTGGTTTTGGGGATTATCCTTCCAAACCTGCAATTACAAAGTTTACGACATTCTTTTCTAGGGGCAGCCTACCCAAGTTCAAACTGTGTAAGCTGTTACAGGCAAGGTTCAAAATATCAATACGCCCGATATGCCGATAGGGGTGTATTGGGTGAATCAATACCTTTTATTTATTTATTTTTTTAAAGCAGTTCAGGGGGGCCGATTTAGAGTTTTTCCACCCCCTGAACCGGTCAGACCCCCCGATACACCTACTGTAGGGGTGTATCAGAGGGATCCTGGAACGATACGTTTTGGTCGATATGAGTCGATATGTGCCGATACTTTGAACCTTGATTTTAGGCGTGATGTGACCCCATAGATTATCCTTCCAAACAGCCAAAGTTTTTCTGGCCGCGATGGACCACGTGCAAGTGTGCAACTTGCTATAGGCTAAGTTTGGGAGTGCTATAAAGTGCTTTATCGTTTGCTGAAAAGTCACTTATTTCCAACCGGGCGGGCTAAGAAAGGCCAGAAAAGTAAGCACTTAAAAATAAAAATAAGTTCAATTCCTTATTCTTAGGAATAATCACTTATTGGTGTGGCTTAGGACAAAATAAGTGTTTATTTAAGTAAACACTTCTTTTTAAGCATTTCCAAACTTAGCTTTAATAGTATTTCTTATTTTTCTGATCAATTTTCCTACAGATCCAGGAAACAAAAACACGCTTTGCATAGATTTTTCTAATATTTGAATTTTAGCTCGATGTCTGATGGCTCAAAGTGGTCAGATTTGGGCACCAAGGTTGGTTCCTGGTGAGGATATGGGAAAAGTACAAATACAAATATGTATTGTGCACATCAATGGTTTAGAAATAACTTAAGATTTTACATCGAACATATTTATAAGTGCACTTTCCCAGGCTCAGTTTGGGAAGGGTGCAAATACAAGGTTTACAAGGGTTGGCATTGAATACATTTGTATTTGCATTCTTCCTAAGCTAAGTCAGGGATGCGGTCAGTTATGCTCAATTTGGAAGTGTAAATAGGAATATGTACAGTGCAAATAGAAGGTTTAGAAATTCCATATAAAAGGTTTTGCACTTGACATATTTATATTTGCATTTTTACCAAACTGAGCCTATTTTTTATGCTAATGATCAAGGTTCAAGTTTTGCAATTCACATTTTATGCACAATATATGTATACATCACAAATTATAAGATGAATTAATGGTAACAAGACAACATATAATTGAAAAGTCATGAATTTGATTCTTTTAATTGGCATTTTTAAGGTTTTCATAGATTTAGGAGGTGTTGGTTGTTAGACGGTTTATGCCCTTAGCTCTAATAAGAATGTACATAAACATTTATTTGTAATTGAATAAAGTACATTGTTGTTTCATGTTAATATTAGTATATTTCTGTGTATTACCCTTTAAATTAGACACTTAATAGACTCGTGTTAATTTAAAATGTTTTTTAGTCATTAGATAGATTTGGGGAGTTTATCTTGACAAGACCGACACTAATGTGATGCCAAGGAGTTGGAGCATCTTGTCTCAGCTGCTAAGGTTAGACCCCAAGCATAGCCAATGGGTGTTTATTAGAAGCATTGAACCATAACCAATTTCAAATTACACATCGGACCTTGGAGATAGATGGGCAAAACTGAAAAGTTACATACAACCCCAGACTTGATTATGGTAATACACTAAGTATTCGACTAGGCTATCTTTGATATACCAACTAGTGAGACCCATTAAGGGTCAAATACTTGGATATGTTGGGGCAATCTAAGAATTCACTTGGGTGGGTGATCATAGTAATATGATCGGCCCCTTTGTCAAACAAAGTGAATGTTAGGCTTTATACTCTCTATGATGGAAACCTAAACTGTCGACAGTGGATTTCACCTATGTTTAAAATCTGGTTTTGCAAAATGTATTTATATGTTATATACTACTATTTTATGAAAAATACTTGCAAAATGTTTTAATCTCAAGATCCATCTGAGTAGAGAGTGTGGCACTGCACCTTGCAGCCAGGGAGAGAGATCATTTCCTATCGAGTAGTGTTATGATCATTATGGGCCGAGAGCTTAAGTGTAAGAGATCATTACAGAGCTGATTACCTGATGGGCTTTGTCTTATATGAGTCCATTATCCTTGGGTCTTCATAGGATGGCTGAATCCAATGATCATTTAGGTGTAAATGTTGGGCCCAAATTGGACCAATGTTGATTGGGTCAGGGGCTCAGTGCCTTGAGTTGTGAATTTGGCCTAGCCTCTTTCAAATGTTGGGTCAAACCCATGTGGGTTTATGTGAGATCATTGTGGGGTCCCACACCATACATTATCGAGCCTAAAGTGGCTATGCAACACCTTGAGTCATGGGCCTTTGAAGTAGATGGGCCTAAAGCCCATAATTAAAGGCACCAACCCCACTACTTTAGTATATAAAGGCACCCCGGATATCCCGGAGCGCTTTCGTAAGCTCCACGACTACTTCAGTATATAAATGCACCAACCCCAATGGCTCAAGGTACGCGTGATTTTTCTACTCTCTAGCACTCTAAGCTTTCTAAGCTCTCAATTCAGCTCGCATCAGATTACTGACTTAAGCATTGGAGCGACCTCGCCGGAGTCAAAAGATACAGAATGGAGAACTCCAAGAAAGGAAATGTTCTTTTCAGGCACGGAGTCACTCTCTCCAAGAAGATGTCTCCTAAGACTTCTGAGGAGATTGAGGGCATGAAGGACGTTCCCTATGCCTCTGTCGTAGGGAGCATCATGTATGCCATGCTGTGCACTCGCCCTGACATTGCTCAGGCAGTGAGTGTGGTAAGCAAATTTCAGGCCAACCCAGGGTAGGAGCACTGGACTGCTGTGAAAAACATACTCAAGTACCATTGAAGGACAAAAGTGTTTTGTCTTGTATTCGATAGTAGCTCACTAAAGATCCAAGGGTATACTGATGTCGATTTTTAATCGGATCCAGATGATAGAAAGTCTACATTTGGATATGTTTTCACGATAGGATCGTGTGCTGTTTGCTGGAAAAGCATCAAACAGGGGTCCACCGTAGACTCCACAACCGAAGCCGAATACATTGCCGCAAGCGAGGCTGCCAAAGAAGCCGTGTGGATGAAGAAGTTCGTTCACGAGTTGGGAGTAGTTCCATCTGGCACATCACCCATCCCGTTGTTGTGTGACAACAATGGAGCAATTGCTCAGGCTAAGGAGCCACGAGCCCAATCAAAGTCAAAGCACATCAAGAGGAAATATCACGTACTGCGGGAGATTGTTGGTAGAGGGACGTCCTGATGCAGAAGGTAGCTTCAGCGGAAAAGCAGACCCATTGACAAAGCCACTAYCACAGAAAGTGTTTGAGAAAAAACCCATTGCTAAGCTTCCTGGATGTCTACTCTGGTTACAACCAGATTAGGATGGACCCCGCTGATGAAGAAAAGACGACCTTTATAACTGAGCTCGGGTTGTATTGCTACAAGGTTATGCCCTTTGGATTAAAAAATGTCGGAGCAACCTTTCAAATACTTGTAAATAAAATTTTTGAGTCGTTAATCGACAATAAAGTTGAATGTTATGTAGATGACATGGTCATTAAGACCCAATTTTCAAAATTTTTGTTAGACAATTTGCAAAGTGTTTTCGAAATTTTACGAAAGTATAATATGAAATTGAATCCCAACAAGTGTGTCTTCGGGGTCACCTCGGGTAAATTTTTGGGCTACATAGTCAACCGACGTGGCATCGAAGCCAACCTGGATAAAATAAAGGCCATCTTAGATATGAGACCACCCCGCAAACTAAAAGAGGTTCAAAGGCTGAATGGCCAGATAGCCGCTCTGAGTCATTTTATGTCCAAATCGACAGACCGCTGCCTACCTTTCTTTAAAGCTATAAAAAAGAGTAAAGACTTTGAGTGGATTGCAGAGTGTCAGCTCGCCTTCGACGAGCTAAAAAGATACTTAGCTAGTACCCCGGTTCTGACCCGACCCGAGGAAGGGGATATTTTAAAGATGTACCTCTCCACGAGTGATGAGGTGGTCAGCTCGGTACTGATCAAATAGGTAAATCGGGTCCAACGACCCATCTACTATGTTAGTAAAGTTTTACAAGATGTTGAAACGAGATACCAGGAGATCGAGAAACTGGCGTATGCGCTAGTCATAGCAGCTCGCAAGCTTCGTTCGTACTTCCAAGCCCACACCATCATCATCCTCACCAACAAGCCTCTTAGACAGATCCTACTCAAGCCTGAGGTGTCTAGCAGATTGACGAAGTGGGCTATCGAACTCAGTGAGTACGACATCCGGTATGAACCTTAGACGGCAATTAAAGCCCAATCCTTGGCCGATTTTGTGGCAGAATGTACATTTAGTACCGCAACTCCCGAGCTGGTCGGGCTCGAGCACACGGTGGAAGCTTCATCCAGTGCGGCACCAATCCTGGTTAGAACTGGTCCGACCTGGGACGAGGAGCCCGGGATCCTCCACGTTGGCGGCTTGTCCAACCAACAAGGAAGCGGTGCGGGAATAATTCTGTACGGTTCAAGTGGGGTGAACCTGGAATATGCACTCCGGTTTGGGTTCCCAGCATCGAACAATGAAGCAGAGTACGAAGCATTGGTTGTTGGGCTCACTCTAGCAAAGGAAATGAAAGTTAAACACCTCGTCATATGCAGCGATTC